TTACCCTGGCTTTTGCTAATTTCCCAGTTCTGGTTCAGCCTTGTGTTCGGTGTACAGGGTTCATGTCCAGTTGTGTCCATGTGTGTGTGTGTATGTGTGTCTATCAAAACGGGCAAGATGGCAATTGTGGCACTACCTCCATCACCCATCCAAGATGTTACTGTCGGTTCCCTTTTGCTGAAAATGCCACAATCTGCCACTGAATTGTCTCTTTCCATTTTTCTTTCCAATGGCTTGTGTACTTTTTTTCTTCCTTAGGAATTAAAACCTCACATTTTCACAGTAGCAGAAGAAAGCTACCGAAACGTCCAGAGCCAGATTCCATTAGTCAATCAGTCCATCATTGTTAGTGGAGAAAGCGGTGCTGGTAAGGTAAGCTGAGATCTCTTTAAAATTGCTTTGGGGAAATTTGGCATGCTCATTTCTGGCTGAATCGACCTACACGTTTGTGTGACCAGCAGATTTTTATTTATTTTTTTGGGACCGGCCTTCCGAAGGTTGCCACCTTAACCTACTTTTCCACGTTAGAAATTAAGATCTTTGAGTTTCATCCCCTTCCAGTTTTGATTCGGATGGAATCCGTTTGTTCTTGCATCTGCTTAACTGTAGTTACTGAATCGGGATTAAAGAGAGAATCCAGATCCTGTTAAAGATGGTGCTTGATTCAAACCCAGAAGGGCTCTGCTCCTCTCTAATGTGGGAAGATGCAGAATTGGCCATTTTGTGTAATTTGTAGCTGGGCATGGGGGATCAAATGGTAAAAAGTGCCTGAGGATGACACCCCACAAATGCCACCCTTTCCATGTTTGAGCCTGATGTCAGAACTACCACTAGGGCAGGGATAGGCAACCTTGGCTCTTTTATGACTCGTGGACTTCAACTCCCAGAATTCCTGAGCAGCCATGCTGAGGAGAAAGGGAGAGGTTTCCATGCTGAGCCATGCTGGCTCAGGAATTCTGGGAGTTGGAAGTCCACGAGTCATAAAAGAGCCAAGGTTGTCTACTCTTGCCCTAGGGCATCATTTACATCAGGGCTTTTCAACCAGTGGTACGAGTACCACCTGTGGCACATTGGCACCTGGCAGGTGATACGCAACTATCCTAGAAAAGTAGCGGGGGAGGGGAATGAGCTGAATCGGTGGCAGCACCACACAAGCCTGAGTGACAGATGGTTGGAGCTGCAGGGCTCAGTGGAAGCACCAGGATCAGCACCAGGCTCGGTGCTGATCCTGGTGCTTCTGCTGAGCCCTGAAGAAGCACCAATCAGCTGGAGCATTGATCCTGGCGCTTCTGCTGAGCCCAGAAGCGCCAATCAGCTGGAATGTTGCAGCATCTCCAGGGTCTTGTGATTTACATTCAGATGCTTGGCAACTGATTCATATTTATGACGGTCACAGTGTCCCAGGGTCATGTGAAGTGACCAAAACCTGCTGCAACCACCCAGCAGACGGGGGGAATAAAAACCAAACACCCCACCCCACCCCACCCCCGCTGCCAATCCTCAACAGAAATGCTCACAACAATGGAAACCTCGGACAGGAGGAAGAGCGCTGCCGGGCAGGTAGGCAGGTGTCTTGCTCGGCTGTGGCTTGGGGGGCACTTTTTTCAATGCCATTGTAACTTTGAACAGTCACTAAGCAAACTGTTGTAAGTCGAGGACTACCTGTACTTTATTACTTTTTTTCCTTTTTTTTTTTTTTTTTGGTCATCAAATTTTTGACACCTTGCTGGTGGTACTCTGATGTTGCCATATCCTAAAAGTGGCACAATGGGTGAAAAGATTGAAAAGCCCTGCTTTATATGAATGGTAGAATGGTAGAGGATTATGGGGCAATGCTATTTAATGTTTTGCGGCAGCTGTGGCAGCTGTGACAAACTGTGATGATGTGGAAGTGATCATAACCTGAGTGGTGACACTGTCATGTAAATCAGGGCTTTTCAACCTTTTTCACCCATTGTACCACTTTTAGGATATGGCACTATCCGAGTACCACCAGTCGCCTAGCAAGGTGTCAAAAACTTGATGACCAAAAAGAAAAAGAAAAGGAAAAAATTGATAAAGTACAGGTAGTCCTCGACTTACAACAGTTCGAAGTTACAATGGCACTGAAAGAAGTGCCCCCCAAGGCACAGCCAAACAAGACACCTGCCTGCCCACCCGGCGGCACTCTTCCTCCTGTCCGAGGTTTTCATTGTGAGCATTTCTGTTGAGGATTGGCAGCGGGGGTGGGGTGGGGGGTGTTTGGTTTTTATTCCCCCCGTCTGCTGGGTGGTTGCAGCAGGTTTTGGTCACTTCACATGACCCTGGGACACTGTGACCATCATAAATATGAATCAGTTGCCAAGCATCTGAATGTAAATCACAAGACCCTGGAGAGGCTGCAACATTCCAGCTGATCGGCGCTTCTTCTGGGCTCAGTAGAAGCGCCAGGATCAGCGCCGAGCTCCAGCTGAAGCCTGGCGCTGACCTGGTGCTTCCACTGAGTCCTGACAGTCCCGAAGAAGCGCTGATCCTGGCGCTTCCGCTGAGCCCTGGGAGCCCTGCAGCTCCAGCCGTCTCTCGCTCAGGCTTGTGCAGTGCTGCCACCGGTTCAGCTCATTCCCCTTCTCCGCTACCACATTTCTAGGATGGTCGCATACCACCTGCCAGGTGCCAGTGTACCACAGGTGGTACCCGTACCACTGGTTGAAAAGCCCTGATCTAGTCCAACCCCCTGCCCAGGCAGGAAACCCTATACCATTTTGGACAAATGGCTGTCCAGTCTCTTCTTAAAAACTTCCAGTGTTGGAGCATTCACTGCTTCTGGAGGCAGGTTGTTCCACCAGTTAATTGTTCTCACTGTCAGGAAGTTTCTCCTTAGTTCTAGGTTGCTTCTCTCCTTGATTAGTTTCCATTCTTTGCTTCTTGTCCTGCCTTCAGGCGCTTTGGTGAATAGCTTGACTCCCTCTTCTTTGGGGCAGCCCCTGAGATACTGGAACACTGCTATCATGTCCCCCCTCGTCCTTCTCTTCAGCAGATCAGCAATAACACATAAAACTCCAAGGAATCAGCGTCTCCTTAAGTCTCAGTCTCCAGGTGGGCCTTGTGGAGAGGGGCAAGACGCTCTCCTCCCGAATAGCTGAGCCTGCCTGCGTTGTTCCCTCCTTCTCTCCACTCTCCGTGCTCTAGGAATCAGGTGGGGGTGGCCCTTGCTCATCGCCTGAACTCTGCCTCTCCTGTTCCTCCCAATCCTGAAGGGCCCTGGCCTGCCTCGGCCTGCTCTTCTCCACATTCCTCTGAAGCCCTAGACATATCTCCCTCAACCTCCATAGGGTCCGTTCCAGCTCATTTTCCTCTGCAGATTCAGGCTCCGAGGGAGGCATGACACCTTGTCAAAACTGTCTTTCTCTTGTTTCTGAGATGATATAAGTGGTAAGAGAAATCAATGGCTGACATTCAGGGGTCTCTTTATAGACATGGACCTCCCGCTGCCTGATGAAGTTTTATGCGACTGTTGCAGCTTCCCCTGACCTCCCAGAAGGCAGTATATCGGTGGAGAGGATAGAGCAACGCGTGTTGGATTCCAATCCTGTCATGGAAGCTTTTGGTAAAGATGATCTTTTTAATAAACAAAATGTTTGCTCTAGCCCAGGGGTAGGCAACCTTGGCTCTTTTATGACTCGTGGACTTCAACTCCCAGAATTCCTGAGCCAGCCATGCTGAGGAGAAAGGGAGAGGTTTCCATGCTGAGCCATGTTGGCTCAGGAATTCTGGGAGTTGAAGTCCACGAGTCATAAAAGAGCCAAGGTTGCCTACCCCTAGACTAGCCAATAGATTAGAACCATCCAACTCAAAACTATCAATCTAATCCAATGCTTCTCAAGCTTGGTGACTTTAAGATGGGTGGACTTCAACTCCCAGAATTCCCCATGCTGGCTGGGGAATTCTGGGAGTTGTAGCCTAGCTGTCTTAAACTCTAGTGTGTTCAAACCATCCCAGACCATAGGTATTTGTAGCAAGCTAAAGTTTCAGCAAACGTGCTTTGTGATATCATTGAACACGCTTTGTTCTTTTGTATCTGTGTGCAGCATTGTAACGTAAAGATAAAATTTGTTGGTTTTTTTTTAAACAAATTTTATTGGTTTTTTAATTATTAAGACAAAGTGCTCGAGACACACCGTGGTGCTGGGGTAATCAAAAATCCAAAGATAAAACATATATAGATAACTCAATCAGTACATCAAATATTCCCTCTCTATTTCCCTCAAATAGCTTAATATATTTAAAATAGTCCATTTCTAACTTGAATTTCTATTAATCCTAAACCTGTTTTAGAGCTTTATGAAATTACAATACCATAATCAAATTTAACTTTAAATAAACACATTATCAGTTCAGGTATCCCTTCCAGATATATTCTAATTCCTTAATTTTATAATAAGTCTTATTTATTTCTTCTTCCACTAATATCTCCTAATTAAAATAAAATACTGATCTATCCTGTGCATATCTAATCCATCAATCAATCAATTTCTTTAAGCTAACAGAATAATATCAACCTTAAATCATTTAAGTCCATTAAACAAGATTCTAATTTCATCCAATTAATTATCATAGCTAATAACATCCATATTATCAAACAAACACATCATCTTGTTACAATAACATTCAATTAATTATTAGTTCAATCCCAATCTAAAACACCTCTTCAGTTTTATTCATTCCATTACATAATAGTTTTCATACAAATAAACCTATTATTCCAAAAAATGCATTCTTAATCTATTTAATCTATTTCAAAAAAAAAAAAAAGATAAAATTTGTATTGCAGCCTGTGTGGCTCAGATACCTATGAAAAAGCAGAAACTGACTTCTTTGTTTAAAAATACTGCTCAAGGCATAGTTCTTGCCTTTAGTTCTTCCAGCTAATTATGAAGTCAGACATACCAAAAGTAAAGTTGCCTAAAACCAATCATGAATAAAAAAAGTGAGATTGGGTTTCCACATTGCCCTAAGCTACGTTTTTGTGGAAAAAAAATAAAAAATAAAAAACCACAACTGGTTGATTTACACAAGGCCCTAAATTATAAATAGGAGTGGCCACGTTTGGGGACCTTGAGGGCCCCAAGATGTAAAGCAATTAAACTAATTGGATAAAACTGGTTTGGGAGATGGAGACATTTTTTTTTAATTTATATATTAGTCCACTTTTGAGCCTTGCATTACTTTCCTGCCTTGAATAGTGAGAAATGGTGCAATCTATTTTCAGCATTATTAGCTACACTATAGAACAGTGATGGCGAACCTTTTAGAGACTGAGTGCCCAAACTGCAACCCAAAACCCACTTATGCATCGTTGGGTGCCGGGTGGGTGTGGCCCATTGGGTGGATGTGGCCCATTGGGTGGGTGTGGCCCATTGGGTGGGCGTGGCTGTGGTGGTAATGGCAGACTGGGTGGGACTAAAAGGTTCAATCAATCAATTCCAACTTTGCAAGATCTTTTTTCCCGCAAGAAGTTGAAATTGACTGATTGAACCCTTTTTTTTTTTTGCACACGATGGCGGAGGCCTAAAGCGAAAAGGTTTTATAAAACCCAGCTGAAGGCCTAGGACTGGGGCGACAGTGCGCGTGCCCACAGAGAGGGCTCTGAGTGCCGCTTCTGGCACCCGTGCCATAGGTTCACCACCACTGCTATAGAAGAAAGAGAATGTTAAGCTATACATACACACACACAGAGACACACACTGAATGAATGCATGCATGAATGAATGAATGAATCACAGCAAAGTTTACATGCATGCTATGTCAAATTCCCTTGCATATTAGCATAATGTCTGAACTCTCTTTTACATTAATTCATACCTCCTTTAACCTTTGTGATAGACACATGTGGCTTGCATAATGCCAGTTTTTGTTAATTTCACAGGAAACGCATGCACCCTTCGGAATAACAACAGCAGCCGCTTTGGGAAATACATCCAACTTCACTTAAATAGGTACTGTCTCCTCCTTCACCTAGTGATATTCTCTTTTGACTTATTGCAATGATCAAGTTTCAGAGTCAAGGTTAAAAAGATAAATTCTCCTTTGAGTCTCCCGTTCACCTCCTGGTGATCTTAAGCATTTCTTCCAGGACTTTTAATTATTTTTTTTAAGTTAATGGATTTGAACTCCAATCCAATCTGAAGCTCTGGAAAATATCTTTCTAAGATGCCATACAGGTGGTCCCCAATTTATGACCCAGACTGCAACTGGATTGCTGGTTTTAAATCATTACAGTCATAAGTCAAGGGACTCATGTGATCAGACTGGATTTTATGATACTTTTTGCAGTGGGCATTAAGCAATTCACTGTGGGTGTGAAGCAAATCCACAATCGTTATATGGATGCGGCTGTCATGTGTGAAGCCATTCTTCCAAACAGGTGGTTTTTTTTGCCAGAAACCAGCATAAAAAAATGCCAGAAACTGACCCCCCCCCCCCAAAAAAAGAAAAATCACAAGGTCACATGATTGTGGCGCATTGCATCTGATCATAAAGGCACACTGGTTGCCAAGTGCCCAAAATATGGTCACATGACTGCTGTGGAAGGTAGTACCGGTACATTTCATGATGGCCATAAATGCTTTAAGACAGAGGTCCCCAACCTTTTGGGCACCAGGGACCGGTTCCGTGGAGAGAGATTTTTCCACGGACCGGAAGGGGCGTGGTTTTGTGTACTGCCTGCATCCCATGGATGGGGCTTTGCTTGTTTGTGCAGACCGGTTGCTGGCATGCCGTGGCCTGGTACCGGTCCATGGACTGGGGGTTGGGGACCCCTGCTTTAGGAGCCACAAAGGATCATTCCATGCCTGTAATAATTTCAAACAATCATTAAGCCACCAGTTGTAAGTCGAAGACTGCCTGTATTCTGGGCAAGGATTTTATTACGCATTGCATCCAGGGGTTGGATCAAAACAGGCAAGACCACCAATGCGGCATTAAGGTAGAAGGGTGGAGCTTGCATCACACCTGGCATCCTGTCTATTTTGAATGCCCATCAGATATGTTGAGACTACATTTCTCAGAATCCTTAGCTATTATGGCCATTGATTGGAAGATTCTTGAAGTTATAATCCTTGCTTTTTGCTATCCATTAAGTTGGGACAGCCTGTGTGCAAAAGGAAGGCCTTTTGGAATAGAATGGGAAATGTAATTTTGCTACTCCTCCGCTGTTCCTAGAGCAGGGCTTTTCAACCAGTGGTACAGGTACCACCTGTGGTACATTGGCACCTGGCAGGTGGTACGTGACCATCCTAGAAAAGTAGTAGCGGGGAAGGGGAATGAGCTGAACCGGTGGCAGCACCGCACAAGCCTGAGCGAGAGATAGCTGGAGCTGCAGGGCTGTCAGGGCTCAGCAGAAGTGCCAGGATCAGCGCTTCTTCGGGACTGTCAGGGCTCAGTGGAAGCACCAGGATCAGCGCCAGGCTTCAGCTGGAGCTCGGTGCTGATCCTGGCGCTTCTGCTGAGCCCTGAAAAAGCACCAATCAGCTGGAAAGCAGCACTGATCCTGGTGCTTCTGCTGAGCCCAGAAGAAGCGCCGATCAGCTGGAATGTTGCAGCATCTCCAGGGTCTGGTGACTTACATTCAGATGCTTGGCAACTGATTCATATTTATGACGGTCACAGTGTCCCAGGGTCATGTGAAGTGACCAAAACCTGGTGCAACCACCCAGCAGACGGGGGGAATAAAAACCAAACACCCCCCCACCCCACCCCTGCTGCCAATCCTCAACAGAAATGCTCACAATGAAAACCTCGGACAGGAGGAAGAGCATCGCCGGGCGGGCAGGCAGGTGTCTTGCTCGGCTGTGCCTTGGGGGGAACTTTTTTCAGTGCCATTGTAACTTCGAACTGTTGTAAGTCGAGGACTACCTGTACTTTATCAATTTTTTCCTTTTTTTTTTTTTTTGGTCATTAAGTTTTTGACACCTTGCTAGGCGACTGGTGGTACTCGGATGTTGCCATATCCTAAAAGTGGTACAATGGGTGAAAAAGGTTGAAAAGCCCTGTCCTAGAGTCTATGAATTTAATTTTAAACTACCATTTCTGCAGATCTCAGCTTTTAACAAGTGCATCCATTCAGACTTTTCTTCTGGAGAAAACGAGAGTTGCCTATCAAGCCCCTCAGGAAAGGAATTTCCATATTTTTTACCAGGTTTGTGTTTCTGTTGTGTTGGTTTAATGTGAATCAATAACTTCCTTTTTTAAAAAAAAAAATTGTGTGCGCATAAAGATGCCCGGAAAATAGTTCTGCTTGGTTGCTGAGGGTCACAATATGAGAAATATCCTTTTTTTAACGGAATAATTTGTTTGCTTCAATTGCCAAGCTGTTTTTTTTACTTTCCAGATTGCAAAAGGAGCCACGCTGGATGAGCGCCAAGAATGGGATCTTCTGGAGAGTGCACAATTCTGTTGGCTTCCAAATTCTGAAAAGACTCTAGAAGGTAGCATTTGAAAGCCCAGATCTTGTAAAGACCCTCTTAGGCGTCTTTAAAAAAAAAAAAAGGAAGAAATTGACTACAAGCCTAAATAAATAAAATGTAGTGTAATTAATAATATTTCAAGTTGAATTGCTATTACAGAAAAGAGAAGTAGATGAAAAATGCTGGAACAAATTCTGAGATTAGCATTTTAAAAAAGACAATAAGGAACTCCTGTTGCTTTTTTTTTTAACTCTCAAACATATCGTGAAAAAAGTAAGTAAATGGTGAAAAAAGCAAGGTTCTACATTTAGGCAAGAAAAACCAAATGTACAGGTATAGTATAGGGGGTACCTTGCTCAATAGTAGTAACTGTGAGAGGGACCTCGGAGTCCTAGTGGGCAATCATTTAAATATGAGCCAGCATTGTGCTGCAGCTGCCAAAAAGGCCAACACAGTGCTGGGCTGCATTAACAGAGGGATAGAATCAAGATCACGTGAAGTATTAATACCACTTTACAATGCCTTGGTAAGGCCACACTTGGAATACTGCATCCAGTTTTGGTCACCACGATGTAAAAAAGATGCTGAGACTCTAGAAAGAGTACAGAGAAGAGCAACAAAGATGATTAGGGGACTGGAGACTAAAACATATAAGGAACGGTTGCTGGAATTGGGAATGTCTAGTTCAACGAAGAGAAGGACGAGGGGGGACATGATAGCAGTGATCTAGTATCTCAGGGGCTGCCCCAAAGAAGAGGGAGTCAAGCTATTCTCCAAAGCACCTGAAGGCAGGAGAAGAAGCAACGGGTGAAAACTAACCAAAGAGAGAAGCAACCTAGAACTAAGGAGAAACTTCCTGACAGTGAGAACAGTTAACCAGTGGAACAACCTGCCTCCAGAAGCGGTGAATGCGCCAACACTGGAAGTTTTTAAGAAGAGACTGGACAGCCATTTGTCCGAAATGGTATAGGGTTTCCTGCCTGAGCAGAGGGTTGGACTAGATGACCTCCAAGGTCCTTTCCAACTTTATCATCATCATCGTCGTCATCATCATCATCATCATCATCATTATATCCAGTTGAAATGATTTTTACATCATTTCTGAGGCACTTCGGTAGGATTATTTCATTGGAGCTTAATCCCCAGCAAGTGCTTGGGATTTTTGTTTGCTTTTAAAAAAATTATTTATTTATTAAGAAAATTCATATGGCTGCCCAACTCACTCTGAGTGACTCCGGGCAGCTTACAAGGATAAAAACCCAATGGGAAAACCAATAATCCCCCCACACCCCCATTTCTTTCAAATGTCATGGTTCCGATAGATGAAACTCTTCAAAGAATTTCGAGGCATTGTTTACCTTAAAGAATCTATTTGAGAAGCATAGCATTGGCATTAACACAATCAAAGCCAAAAACTGGATTCCTCTTCCCTCAGCACATAGTATCAAAGCACAATTCCGTCCTCCAATTAACAGTCATAAATCACATTCTCCAATTAGTTTGAAATGCAGGCTTTCCCTCCAGTTCTCCAGCCCGCCAATTCTTATCATCTCTTATTTCAATAACCTTGGTTCTCACACTAGGTTCAGTATTGTTACGTCTAGCTAAACTCTCATGCACATTCCTCCCCCCATCATCATCTAACCCTAACTCTAACTCCAAGAGTAAAACATAAGAAGAAAATGGTTGCATCTCCATTTGTTGTCAAAGCAAAAACATCCGATGTTAGCAGCGTTGACATCAGTACTGCTTGAATGTCAATGTTTAATGTGAAAGGCAGGAAAAAAATCTTTAAATGCAGGAAAAAGGACAATATTTTCTTTTTTTCACGAAAGAGAAAACAAATGTGCTTTTGTCTCATCCATTTTTCATGATTCTGCCTTTTTTTTTTTGAAGCAGGCAGGATCAAGTACAGTCCCTGCCTGCAGTTTCAATTCTTAAAATACTGTTCTTGCACTTTAGCAGTTTGGCCTTACTAGGTTGGTTCTGATTCAGTACCATTGCATGTTATCTCAGGCTGTTGGTTCAGATGTAGCAGCAAATCATTGTTAGGCCTTACAAATCATGATCTGGGACTGCATTGAAGCCACCTGATTTTCGGGAGAGGAAGAGAGAACCTCCATCTAATGAATGTCTCTTTGCCTTGTAGAAGACTCTTTTGATGTCACTCGGGAGGCCATGACCCACCTGGGCATTGACAGTTTCACCCAGAATAATGTTTTTAAGGTCAGTTAAACCTTGGCTCAGTAGCAGTTGGACTGATTGATTGATCGATTGATAGGATTGGTAAGGCCACCTAATCAGCATGTATTGATTTCTGAGGGTGATTTAGCATGTCCCGTATTTCAACCGCCTGGCTGTCAACTGTCCAGTTGGCATTTCCAGAAAAATAAACTCTTGGGGCATGGTTTTACCAAGGTCATAATACTTTACTGAAAAATTACATTGGCACAGAAGAAAACGAAACCAGCTCTGGTTTTTGCCGCTCAAAGGCTTGCTTATTAGTTAAATGATAGACTCCCTCACCTCCACCCACCGGGTGTTCACTTTGTCCAATTGTAATATTTCTTCTTGTTATGGAAACAGTCCACTTCTCCTTCGAGCAGCTGGCCTTGACTCTCAGTTGCCTAGACCAGAGGTCCCCAACCTTTTGGGCACCAGGGACCTCCTCCGTGGAGAGAGGTTTTTCCACGGACCGGAGGGGGCCGTGGTTTTGTGTGTTGCCTGCATCCCACGGATAGGGCTTTGCTTCTTTGTGCGGACCGGTTGCTGGAATGTCGTGACCCAGTACTGGTCCATGGACTGGGGGTTGGGGACCCCTGGCCTAAACATCAGACAGGAAGGCGGTGCAGAGAGTGGTGAGGACGGCTGAAAAGATCATTGGCAGTTCCCTCCCTCCCATCCAGGACATAGCACGGAAGCGCTGCTTGAGCAGGGTCCCTAAGATTATCTGGGGCGCTACACATCCTCTTCACAACCTGTTTTTCTTGTTCCCTTCTGGGAGGAGGGGGTTCCGTGGTATCCGAAGCAGAACATCCAGATTCAGCCATAGTTTCATTCCATACAGCATTAACCTTGTGAACTCTCAAGCTTCCTCCTTCCGTTATATATTCAAGATGGACAGTATTTAATATTTATTTGTTACGCATATGTAGGGGTTTGGGTCTATACATATGTTGTACATAGTATGTTTAGGTGTGTGTCATGTATGTGTTTCACTTTGAGAGCGGGCAACTAAATTTCATTTTTGATGTGTGCCGTTGTGCCCACAGTAAAAAAAAATGACAATAAAGGTTATCTTATCTCTCACCTTTGCATTCCATTGTCAAGATATGAGCAAAAGAGAAAATCTAGGTGAAAAGGCGAATCGTTCTTGACACTGGCTTCATGCCCTAGGGGGCTTTTATGCTAGGGTGGGTGTCTTTTCAAATCTTCTGCCCGAAAGTTCCCAGTAAACTCAGTTTCTGAGTATGGATCCTTGTTCAGCCCAAAAACATCACCTGTACAGAATACAGAGAAACTAACCAATTTGCGATCTCTTTTTGTTAACAGATACTAGCTGGTCTTCTCCATTTGGGCAATGTTCAGTTCTGCGAGTCAGAAGATGAGGCACAACTTTGTGAGTTAGAAGACCTGGCCAAAGGTGAGCTGCCCAAGAGCAAGGTCCTCCAGTCTCAAAAGAACCTAGTTTCAGCTTTGCCGGATCACGGTTTAACACTGAAGATGGTGTAAAACAAGCCAGCTGGAGCTTATTCAGCAAAGTACGTCGTAATATAATGTAGGAACCCAATTGGTTATCCAACAGATCTTTGTGTATATCAGTGGTGGCGAACCTATGGCACGGGTGCCAGAGGCGGCACTCGGAGCCCTCTCTGTGGGCACACGTGCCGTTGCCCCAGCCTCGCCTCCGCCGTGACCCCCTCCTCTCCAGCAGCCCCCCTGTAGGAGAGTCACCCCTGAGTGTGGCCCACCCGGAGCAGCGCAGCCAAGGACATGGCAGCCAGGCAGCGTAGACAAGACTCTGCCCTCACGCCCCATCGTGCACAGTTGATGCTGCAGGGCGCGGGCAGAGGGCGTGACTGGGTGATTTGTGGCGGGCCCTGGAGGTGGTGAGTGGCCATGCAGGCAGGCAGGGTGGGGGATGGGGGCAGGGCAGGAGGGGTGGATCGGTGGCGGGGCCAGTTTTTGGGCACTCCGTCTCTAAAAAGTTCGCCATCACTGGTATATACAGTATATATATATATATATATATATATTGTGTATGTGTGTGTATAGTTGCTGACTTAGAAAATTTTAGGGTGACATTTTCACATTTCATATTTCTGAACCGGCCATAGATCAAACCAATATATTCTCCTAAGCTTCATACTGTAGAACAGAAATTTATCCAGGCTATTTTAAGAAAAATGGCTGACTTTTTTGTTTTTTAAATGATTCTTTTAAAACAAGGCTTTGCAGAGACTGCTTCCCGGCTTTTAAGAGTGCCTGAGGAGCGTTTGTTGGACACACTCAGGAT